TGGCGCGAAAGCTAGACATTCGGGTCATGCCCCACAGGCATGTAAGCAAAGCATGGCTTAGAGTAGGAGGTCGCTACAGATTCTTCATCAGACACAAAAGCATAAAGCAGTAACAGGAGTGGGGGATGGGGAGGGTTGGAAATTAGGAACTCAACGCTTTCCTCAAATTAGACACCAGGCGTTTTGAGGCAAACGTATCAACCCAATATATATCCGGTGACGGGGCCGGGGTACATATCTGAGACACTTCCACGCTTACGAAGAAAACTTATGGCCGTTTTTCGGCACGCTAAAGGAACACGCAGACATTTACCTTGACATGGCTAACGTCAGAATTCAGTAAAGTAAAATTCCTCGACTTTCTGAAAAATGAAGAAAATTTTCGGCCAAATTTACGGCAAATTTTAGACACTGAATACCCAGGTCGACGCCTGGGGAAATCCCACATATAGGCAGTTAACCGGTAGAAATTTTACAATTACAGTACAATAGGCTTTGTCGTAGGCCCTCTCTGCAGACGTCTACTCTGTAAAAGTTCTCTGAGTTAGGCCTGCATTTTAGGTATTCGCGTTCATTTGAATAGGACTTGATCCCTGGGACAATAATTTTGTTTGCCTGAATTTTCGGGATTCGTCGCTGATTCGCCATCAATGCTTTAATCTCAGAACAGTATCAGAAAAATAGGAGAGGTGCAAAGGCCAATGCATCCTTTAAAGCCGAAAACTGCAGGACCAGATGGTTATTGTTGACCTGACGAACAGCGCTCACTACTGTCGGTCATTAATTTTTTTCTACACGTTTTAATTTTATGGTAAACCCCTGTGCACACACTTCCTGTATCTGATACTGCTCTTTGATTATGCCTCTGGCGATGAATCCGCGACATATGTTGAAACGTCAGGCGAATAAATATATTGTCCCAGCGATCGGTTCGTCTTCATCTCAATTACTTCTTAGGACTCGCATGTTCGCTTGTATTGACAATTTGTGTTCATGACTGTCTCGTGACACACAATGATATCGCAGGACATGTCGTTTATGACACAAGGTACGTATGACGAGAAGAAAGGACGATACCGCACCAATGAGAGTAGGGTTGGCATATTGACCTTCACAGATTCACGCTACCTGGACTTTGGTGACCTGTTTTCGGCATTTCAGACTTGACGAGTACTTTTTGCACTACGCTTTGCGCATTCGATTGTACAGCCGACTGGAACAGACAAATTAACCTATAAATATTGCACATCCTGCAGCGTCTCATTATACTTCCTGTGGACGCTAAGGTTAGCTATCAATTGTTTATGTATGAATGCATTATTAACTTAGTCAAGTCACAATCCCTGTAATCGGCCTAAGGCAAATTGGGACGTTTTACTTACATTATTATTGAATATATACACACAGTAGTAAATGCGTTTTAAATGCATTTTCTAACATTTACTGGTCATGCTTGTAGTTTTTATCGTTGCATATTATTCTTGGCGAAAAAGACAAATAGCTTCTTAAAGTCTACCACGGAAAGCTGACAAGCATCCCATAACATGATTCCGTTAGTAAAATTTAAAAAAAACATTTTTTTCTCAATGTATACTTCTCTATGCGTTTAGGATTAAAATGGCGGACAAAGACTCTGCTGGTTGTGGATATATCGTCCTTGTGGCTTCTAGCATCGTTTATACCCTTCTGGGAATAGCCGGAGTTATTGCCGGGTCAATCCTCATCGCAGAAAACTACCAGTCATCCAACATTACCTCGTGGGGTGGAAACAGTACCTCGAACAGTTGGTGGAATGAGCCCTACAACGAGCAGTGGTACGTCCAATATTTCCTAATATTTCTTCAGTTTAACTTACTACCTTTAAGATTAACGCTTTGCCAAATTAAAGATATACGATGGCCGTTTGTGAGAATACTGTTATTCTCATGTATCAGAAAAGGCAAAATGGAACATTGTACCTTAACGGAATGCATCATGCGAAGGAAATATATTTCCAGCAGATAGACAAATACATTAAACGACATATAATTATGAGATTTATGTACGAAATGTTTGCCGCACGCCAAAAGATGTATGCCAACAAATCAACATGCCCTCTCTTTATTTTGATTTTAAGGTATTTTGGGTGGGGAGTGGGGCTACTTGTGAGCGGAATATGTCTTTTGGTTGCTGCTGTATGCCTTGCGGTCTGCTCAGTGTATGTCAAGCCAGAACCCGAACACCCCGATCAACCAAATTTACCCGGTTCGTATGTACCCTATCCAAG